TGCAGTGTTGGGGTGCCTCAAGGACCAGGGTTGGGAACCACTGGTCTAATGTATTGAAATCAATACATTACACCAAGCATACTAAATTAATGTAAGTGTGTAAAGTGTCCATTAGTTCAAAGCATTGGAGTGAGTTTGGGTGGGGGACTATTTGAACGGTGAAGGCCATTTTCAGTTATATGAAAACCGTACTAAAAATGAATGCCAGGACAAACCTGTTCATTGGCATCCTCCATCCACAGTTTGAGGGTCTTCCTGATTGTGGGGTAGTTGTTTCTCATGGTGCTTTGAGGTTTGAGTAACCCAACCCTTTCCAGGTTCTTGAGAGTTAGAATGTGCTTGTAACCATATGTCTAACCCAACAAAACACAAACAACTGTAAATGTTTAAGGCATTTATAATTCACTTCTATGGTCTTGCACAAAATTCTGTGATTCAAATTCACCATTATGCATTCACAAAATCGGTCTAAAAGGAAATAAAAGCAACGCACAAAGAAATTCCCTCTGTCGTACCTGAAGGATCTCTTTCTTATAGTAGTCCAGGACCTTCTGTTTGAGGCCGTTGTTGCAGACAGACTGCATGCAGACCAGTCGCAGGATCTTTATCAGCGGGTCTTTCTGTGCTATGCAGTCTTCTATATATGTGCTGACCTGAGAGTAAAATCACAAAGACATTACTCAAACCTAAAATATAATCTATCTCCAGAGATAGTACCATGTTAAAAATGCAATTCTTTTCTCAAATTTCTCAAATTATTTCTAAAATATTTAGGGGAAGTGAGCTTGTATATTAAACCTCATTCTTTTCTGTTTGAACAATAATTGATGCAGAGTAGTCCATTGTATTTACACCTAGAATATCTTGGATACTTTTAGCATTACATCAGTTGCTCCCCAATGGATCCTCTGCAGTGAATGGGTGCCGTCAGAATTAGAGTTATGATGGATTTGTTTCTTACAAACACACAGCTTTTGGCTTCTCCAGATGTTAACTGATGTACTAGAGTGGTGTGGATTATTGTGATGTTTTTATCAGCTGTTTGGACTCTCATTCTGACGGCACCCATTCACTGCAGAGCATCCATTGCTGAGACACTGATGCAATGCTACATTTCTCCAAACCTGATGAAGAAACAAACTCATTCTAATTCAAATCTACATTTTGAATGGCCTTAGGGTGAGTAAATCTTCATCACATTTTCAATTTAGGAGAACTATTTCTTTAACTTTTTTTTTGTTGCACAAAAACAGAACATTTCTTCAAGGTTATACAAATCATAAGAAAATGTCCATTACAAATGTCATTTCTTAAATTAGCATTTATAATGAAATCATAAACAAGGCACCTTGTCTGTGTCTACTCCGGTCATAAACTCTTGCTCAACGGTCAGACTGTCAAAGAAGTCTTCTGAGGCTGAAACACAGGACAGCAAGGCACACAAAAAAAGGTAAGTAGTAAAAAGCTAAATTAATTGGAACTCATGTCAGGTCTCATAATATTATCATATAATTTTCCACAGTTTGTTCAAATGACTAGGAAAGACATTTACAGTACAATGGAAGTCCAGCAAGCAAGCAGGCGGGCACCATCAGGAATATTCAAATGTGCATTTCTCACCATATTACATAATATGAAGTATAACCACGAGTCAGCTCGTAAATCACCGTTTGCTGAATTCCAAAAACAAATGATCTGATTTATATATTTATATATTTATGAGCCATTGCAAACCATGTTAGCATTTAATCACAGGATATGAATGCATAATTATTTATGATATCAGAATATTCACTCATCATGACAGTAAAATAGTGCATTCTAAGTCAATATACTGCAGTATTTCTCTCTCAATCAGTAGAAGATATGGTTAACACCCGCTCATGCATGAAAAAAAAAAAAACATACCGTCATGTACCGTGAAACCGGTATAATTTTGAAAAATACCGTGATATACATTTTTGCTCATACCGCCCAGCACTATCATCTACTAGTTAACATTTTTACCCAATTCACCTGTGGTTTGTTGCTTTACTAGTGGGTTCTCCATGAAATCTCTACCGCAAGTCATTTTTAGATAAGAGCATTAAATTATAAATCATATTACTATAATTAAAAATCTTATGCACTTATGTGATTTCTTTTGATAAAATACTTGAAATATAATCATATATGGGTAACAGAGAAATTATAGCTACAATCAGCTTCGTAATTAACTTCCGACTGCGATCCAGAGTAGATTCTGGTCAAACGATGAGGCAGAAATATATTGTTAGTAACATTTTAGAAGACTTTTATGGTGAAGATTAGGGGTGCGCGATATATATCGTCTGCGATAATATCGTAATTGTTGTTTTAACGATGTGCGATTTGACATTATCGAGGATTTTGCAAAAACCTTTCAAAACACCTCTACAGAGCGCACACACACATTACGTGAAGCGTAGACTAGTGCGCGTGCGCATTTAGTGTGTGTTCTTTCACTGCGTGATTCAGGCTATTAAAATGCATTTAGAATGATCACAAATTCAAGACATGACGGCAGAAAATTTATATATTTATACCACTTCATATAGTTATTATTATATAGAGTGCCGTTTTTCTCCAAAAGTGACCATGATTACAAATGTGACATTGAATTCAATAAACAATAAGTTAATTAAGAGACTTACGTTTTAGACACCATATTGCTTGTTTTTGCTCTATTTGGCCAACAAAAATCACCCCGAATACAGCCACAGCGCTGTTTTGTGTCTCTGAGCAACACGACGGTGTTTCGATCCTGAATGAATCACTCGTTTAAATGATTCGGTTCAATCGCAATGACTCACTTATTAACAGTGACTTGCTGCCACCTGCTACTTTTTTTTTTGTTGTTGTTGTTGATTTTTTTTTCATGTTTTAAATAATTTCAAATATCAGTATTCAACGTTTTATGCTTAATATATCAAAACATTATTTATGCATTTGTAACTGCAGGTTAAATGCATTCATGTCTTGCATTAAACAAAATACATGTGTGTAAATACATCTAAATGCCACTTCAGATGCAGCTTCTGTGTT